GTGGGCGGATCACAAGGTCAGGAGCTCAGACCAGCCTGGCCAATACAGTGAAATCCCATCTCTACTAAAAAAATACAAAAAAATTAGCCAGGCGTGGTGGCACACGCCTGTAATCCCAGCTACTCGGGAGGCTGAGGCAGGAGAATTGCTTGAACCTGAGAGGCGGAGGTTGTGGTAAGCTGAGATCGTGCCACTGCACTCCAGCACGGCCAACAGAGCGAGACTGTCTCAAAAAAAAAAAAAAAACTCTCTCAAGGCTCAGCACGGTGGCTCACCCCTGTAATCCTAGCACTTTGGAAGGCCGAGGTGGGTGGATCACCTGAAGTCAGGAGTTCAAGACCAGCCATGCTAATATGGCAAAACCTGTCTCTACTAAAAATACAAAAAGGCCAGGCGCAGTGGCTCACACCTGTTTCCCAGCACTTTGGGAGGCCAAGACCGCCGGATCAAAGGTCAGGAGTTCGAGACTAGCCTGGCCAATATGGTAAAACCCCATCTCTATTTAAAAAAAATACAAAAATTAGCTGGGCCATGGTGGTGGGCGCCTGTAATCCCGGCTACTCGGGAGGCTGAGGCAGGAGAATCACCTGTATCCAGGAGGCAGAGATTGCAGTGAGCCAAGATCGCGCCACTGCACTCCAGCCTGGGCAACAGAGTGAGATGCCATCTCAAAAAAAAAAAAAATTAGCCAGACATAGTGGCACATGCCTATAATCTCTGCTACTCAGGAGGCTGAGACAGGAAAATCACTTGAACCCAGGAGGCAGAGGATGCAGTGAGCCAAGATCGCGCCACTGTATTCCAGCCTGTGCAACAAGAGGAAGACTCATCTCAAAAAAAAAAAAAAAAAACCCTCTCTCACGACTTCCCAAATAAACTCCAAATGCCTTATCCATAAGACCCAACACCACGTGGCTGCTCTTCTCTGTCCTCGCCCCTCTATCTCCCTCACTTGCCTCAGTCTGGCCATACTAGCATTCTGGGTTTTTTATTTTGTGTTTGTTTCTTTTGAGATGGAGTCTCGCTCTGTCGCCCAGGCTGGAGTGCAGTGGCGTGATCTCGGCTCACTGCAACCTCCACCTCTCGGGTTCAAGTGATTCTCCTGCCTCAGTCTCTCAAGTAGCTGGGATTATAGGCACCCATCATCACATCCAGCTAATTTTTGTATTTTTGTAGTAGAGACGGGGTTTTGCCACGTTGGCCAGCCTGGTCTCGAACTCCTGACCTCAGGTGATCTGCCTGCCTCAGCCTCCCAAAGTGCCGGGATTACAGGTGTGACCCACCGAGCCCAGTCTGTTTTGTTGTTTTTTGAGATGGAGTCTCACTCTGTCACCCAGGCTGAAGTGCAGTGGTACAATCTTGTCTGACTGCAGCCTCTACCTCCCGAATTTAAGAGATTCTCCTGCCTCAGCCACACAAGTAGCTGGAATTGCAGGCGTGTGCCACCACATGCAGCTAATTTTTGTATTTTTAGTAGAGATGGGGTTTCGCCATATTGGCCAGGCTGGTCTCGAACTCCTGGCCTCAAGTGATCTGCCCACCTCGGCCTCCCAAGTAGCTGGGATTACAGGTGTGAGCCACCGTGCCGGGCCTTTCTGGTCTTTTAACACACAAAGCTATTTCCCAGTTCTGGGTGTTTATACTATCATTGCCAGTTTCTGGAAAGCTCTTTCCGGAAGTGTTCACGTGACTGACCCCTTATCCTCCTTCAGGTCTTGGTTCAAATGCCTCCTTTTCAGAGAGCTCCTTCCTGACCACTTTATGCAACGTGCTTTCCTCTAGTTAGTCTCTCTTCATTCTGTGTATTTCCTTCAGAGCATTTATTATCATCTTGGTCCTGATGCCTGGTGGTTTACGTATTTGTTGTTTATCTCCCACAGAGAAAGCAAACCAGCCTTTCATCTGTCTTGTCCACCACTTTATCCCAGCACAGTGACTAACATGTATCAGTAGTCAATCAATAAATATCTATAGGCCGGGCACGCTGACTCACGCCTGTAATCCCCACACTTTGGGAGGCCAAGGTGGGTGGATCATCTGAGGTCAGGAATTTGATATCAGCCTGCCCAACATGGTGAAACCCCATCTCTACTAAAACTACAAAAATGAGTCGAGTGTGATGGCATGCACCTGAAGTACCAGCTACTCCGGGGACTGAGGCAGGAGAATCGCTTGAACCCAGAAGGCAGAGGTTGCAGTGAGCTGAGATCGCACTACGGCACTCCAGCCTGGGTTTCAGAGCAAAACCCTGTCTCAAAAAAATAATAAATATAAATACATATATACTGCCAGAAGAAATTCACTACTTTTTAGCGAAAAACACAGATTCCTAATTAAAGAAAGGGGAAACGTCTCTCTAAATAACTTTAGAATTCAGGGCAGAAAACGCTACATGTGGAAACATCTTGAGAAACAGTCCCGTTTGTGAACAGGAAGCACTTGGACTACACTTTCTCCATCTCCATGAAGGACTTAAATGTGCAGCACTGAGGAAGAGGCAGAGTTAGCCCCAGTCCTTACCATTTCTGCATATTCCACCTGCTCCCCCTCGTGGTACAGCTCTGGGGGCAGGTTATAAATTCGCAAGATGTTATCAGCACTATTGGTCAAGATGCAGGAACCGTCAGGAGCCCTAGAAACAGGAGAGAGTTAGAAAGCTGGCCAGACCTATGCTTTTCAAGTGTAGGTCTAGGGCTGAGCCTACCTCTGGGGTAGGTAAACCCCCCTGAATCCTTGAGGGAAGGAGAAGACACAAACTGCTAGATAAAATGTAAGTTCAGTCTACAAGGGCTACCGTGCTCCTTCTCCCAGCTCTGGGGCATCCCTCTCCTAGATAACCGGACTGTTTTACAGTGAAAATCTCGGGGGTGGTCAGCTCCCTGCCCCGTTGTTATCCTTACCACTTACAGCCTTTCAAGAAGTTCTCAGGTTGGGTGCTAAACTCTGACCAGGAACCACTGAGAAATCGAGGCAGCTGGGAGAAGCTGTAGTTCCAAGCACTGAAAGGAAGATGGGGGACAACAAACCTGGGTCGCCAAACAAAGGAGGCAGGGGCCTAGAGAAGTGGTTCTGAGGACCAGAGGACAGGTAGACCTCACACTTCATCTCCCCAGACTCCACACTCCACTGCCATCACCACTTACGTGTCTCCCTCGTCCTCCGCAGCGGGTTCCCCAGAGGCATCGTCCACGGCTTCTTCAGACCCCAACTCTGGCCTGTTCACTTCTTCTTCAGAAAGACTCCCGTTTGCTTCTTCTGCAGGAAGTCTCGTATTTTCAGAAAGTTCTTGCTCCTCGATTTGAGGACTCAACTCACTAGGAGCACCGAACTCTGTTTCCAGGGGAGTGGAGAGAGAAACTGGGTCCCCCTCCCCTAGCTCCTGGGACACAGCTGAGCCAGCCACAGGATCTGGGGACAACCGGGGCGGATCCTCCCTTTCGAGAGGCGGTGGCATCAGTTCAGGGTCCGCATTTTTATCCATCGGGGAAGCGTGGGGAGAAGGATGGGCCGGAGCTGGATCCTGGTCTGAGGGACAGCAGTCCGGAGCTAACGGTTGAGTCTCTAAAGTCTTCATACTGCAGAGGAAGCACAGCGGACATTAGCCTCAGCCAGGATGGCTTCGAAGTTCTCAGGGATCCGATGCAGAGCTAATGAAACCCACCTGTGCTTCCTTCCTCTTCTGGGAGGAGGTAGAAGACTCCCGGGAGGAGAGGCGAACAGCGGACGCCAATTTTGAAAGCACTGCGTTCCTTTGCACCGCAGGTCGCTACGAGCCTCTTGCTGTCGCGGGATTTGGGCCCACCTTCCGATTGGGCCGCTGCATCCTGGATCAGATTTCGCGGGCGACCCACGGAACCCGCGGAGACGGGACGTGAAAGGTTATAAGGTTTCCCGTTCCCATCATGCCCTAGGGCTTCTCGTGGCTGCTGGGAGTTGTAGTCTAAACGCTTCTATCTTGGGGAGAAGCGCCTGCGCTCCCCCTACCGAGTCCCGCGGTAATTCTTAAAGCACCCGCACCATCCCCCGCCGCCTGCAGAGGGCGCTGCAGGTCTTGCACCTCTTTTCATCTCGTTCTCCAGGCTCCAGACCTTTCTCTGTTCCCTCATTCAAAAAGTATTTATTATCGAGCTCTTACTTGCTACCCAGGACTGATATAGGCACTGAGGAATACAACAATAAATAAGATAGTAGAAAAATTCTAGGCCGGGCGCGGTGGCTCACGCCTGTAATCCCAGCACTTTGGGAGGCCGAGACGGGCGGATCACGAGGTCAGGAGATCGAGACCATCCTGGCTAACACAGTGAAACCCCGTCTCTACTAAAAATACAGAAAAAAAATTAGCCGGGCGTAGTGGCAGGCGCCTGTAGTCCCAGCTACTCGGGAGGCTGAGGCAGGAGAATGGCGTGAACCCGGGGGGGCGGAGCTTGCAGTGAGCTGCGATCCGGCCACTGCACTCCAGCCTGGGCGACTGAGCAAGACTCCGTCTCAAAAAAAAAAAAAAAACATAAACGAAAAATTCTATATCCTCATAAAGCTTACGTTTCCATGTACTGAAAGCAATTAACAAATATTTTCAGAGTGATAAGTATTGTGAAGATTAAACAAGATGGTGTGATGCAAAGTATGTGGGAGAAAACGTTAGCGTGAGATATTAAGGAAAGCCTTCCTAAAAAATGACATTTCAGCTGATGAGAAGAAAGGATCCAGCTGAGAGCAAACGCAAAAGCTTTCTTCCTTCCACCCTTCATATTTGACACAGCGCAGGATTCCTCCAAAATGGTTTCCACCAATTCTGCCCTCACAGCTCTGGCTTGTAGAATTTTCCACCCCAAAATGTTAGTATCTACGGCACCAATTCAGCGAGAATCCTGACTGTCTCTACACCCTCCTCCCCAATTCCATTTCCTTTGCTTCCTCCGGCAGGCGGATTACTTGCCCTTACTTGTCATGGCGACTGTCCAGCTTTGTGCCAGAAGCCTCGCAGGGGTTGATGGGATTGGGGTTTTCCCCTCCCATGTGCTCGACTGGCGCTAAAAGTTTGGAGCTTCTCAAAAGTCTAGAGCCACCATCCAGGCAGCAGGTAGCTGCGGGGCTCCGGGGACACTTGGCGTCCGGGCTGGAAGCGTGCTTTCCAAGACGGTGACACGCTTCCCTGAGGATTGGGTAAGCTCCTGACTGAACTTGATGAGTCCTCTCTGAGTCACGGGCTATCGGCTCCGTGTATTTTCAGCTCCGGAGAATCGCTGGGGCTGGGGGTGGGGCAGTGGGGCCTTAGCGAGCTTGCGGGTGAGTGGGATGGAAGCTCGGCTAGAGGGATCAACATAGGAGTTGCATTGTTGGGAGACCTGGGTGTAGATGGTGGGGATGTTAAGACCATCCGAACTCAAAGTTGAACGCCTAGGCAGAGGAGTGGAGCTTTAGGGAACCTTGAGCCGGCCTAAAGGGTACTTCTTTGCACATCTACCCGGTGCTAGGCGTAGGGAATCCCTGAAATAAAAGATGCACAAAGCATTGAGATCTGAGACTTTTGGATCTCGAAACATTGAGAACTCATGGCTGTATATTTTAGAGCCCATGGCATTCTAGTGAAACCTCGGGCTCCATTCCGAAATGATCATTTGGAGGTGATCCGGGGAGCCCAAGCTGCTAAGGTCCCACAACTTCCGGACCTTTGTCCTTCCTGGAGCGATCTTTCCAGCCAGCCCTTGGCTCCGCTAGATGGAGAAAATCCAATTGAAGGCTGTCAGTCGTGGAAGTTAGAAGTGCTAAACGAGGGGTTTGCCCGCCAGGCCGAGGAGGACCATCTCAATCTGAGAGGGCCGGCAGCCCTGTTATTGTTTGGCTCCACATTTACATTTCTGCTTCTTGCAGCAGCATTTCCGGTTTCTTTTTGCCGGAGCAGCTCACTATTCACCCGATGAGAGGGGAGGAGAGAGAGAGAAAATATCCTTTAGGCCGGTTCCTTTTACTTGCAGAGGGAGGCTGCTATTCTCCACCCGCACTTTTTTTTTCTGGATTACTTGGTTATGGCCTTTGCAAAGGCAGGGGTATTTGTTTTGATGCAAACCTCAATCCCTCCCCTTCTTTGAATGGTGTGCCCCACCCCGCGGGTCGCCTGCAACCTAGGCGGACGCTACCATGGCGTGAGACAGGGAGGGAAAGAAGTGTGCAGAAGGCAATCCCGGGGGCGGTTTCAAGGATGAGTACATCTCATCTTCCCGGAGGAAAAAAAAAAAGAATGGGTACGTCTGAGAATCAAATTTTGAAAGAGTGCAATAATGGATCGTTTGATAATTTGTCGGAAAAACAATCTACCTGTTATCTGGCTTTGGGCTAGGCCATTCCAGTTCCAGACGCAGGCCGAACGTCGTGAAGCGGAAGGGGCGGGCCCGCAGGCGTCCGTGTGGTCCTCCGTGCAGCCCTCCGGCCCGAGCCGGTTCTTCCCGGTAGGAGGCGGAACTCGAATTCATTTCTGCCGGTTACCCATCTCTTAGCTCGCGGTTGTTTCATTCCGCAGTTTCTCCCCATGCACCTGCCGCGTACCGGGCACTTTGTGCCGTACATACGTCATCTTTTTCCTAAATCGAGGTGGTATTTACACACAGCGCAGTGCACAGACCAAGTGCACAGAAGATGAGTTTTGGCCCTAGCCACTACGTGATGCTTACCAAGTCAGAGACCCATTTCATCGTCCCAGAAGTGTTTCATCGCCCCTCTTCCCAGTAGATTCCCGATCCCACCTTTAGTTTGATCTCCATAACCATTTTGCCTGTTGGAGAACTTCATATAAAATGGAATCAGGCTGGGTGCGGTGGCTCACGCCTGCACTTTGGGAGGCTGAGGCGGGCGGATTACTTGAGGATAGGAGTTCCAGACCAGCCTGGCCAACATGGTGAAGCCCCGTCTCTACTAAAAAATACAAAAATTTGCTGGGCGTGGTGGGCGCCTGTAATCCCAGCTATTCGGGAGGCTGAGGCAGGAGAATCGCTTGAACCCGGGAGGCAGAAGTTGCAGTAAGCCAAGATCGTGCCACTGCACTCCAGCCTGGGCGACAAGAACGAAACTCTGTCTCAAAAAAAAAAAAAAAAAAAAATCATACATTATGTGCTCCTTTTTGTCGGCTTCTGTCCTTCAATGTGCTGTCTGACATTCGTTCATGTAGTTGTATATATCAGTATTTTGCTCCTTTTCATTTAGTATAGCCCATCGATTGTATATCCGTTCTTTTAATGGCCTTTTGAGTTGTTTCCATTTGAGGTTGTGAAATAAAGCTGCTATAAACATTCTTGTACAATTGTTTTTGTGATCATATGTTTTTGTGTTTCTTGGAGAAGTACTTAGGAGGGGAATTGTGAGTTTGGAAATAAAAAGTAGGTGTATTTTGAACTTTATCAGAAGCTCTGAGTTTTCCAGAGCGGTTGTACCATTTTACACTCCAACTAGCAAGGTATGGGAGTTAATTATGGTTGTGCCACAGACTTCTGGACATTGGGTATTGTCAGTCTTTCTAATGTGGTATATCCTTGTGGTTGTAATTTACAGTTCTCTGTTGACTAAGGATGTTCAGCATTTTTTCATGTGCCTATTGGCCATTCGTATTTTGTTTGTAAAGTAGCTCTTCAAGTCTTGCCTGTTATTTTGGTCTTTTGTTTGTTTTTAGGGTTCAGTTGTGGGACTGCTTTATACATTCTGGGTACAAGTCCTTTATCAGATACATGTGTCCTGAATGTTTTCTTCTGATCTGTTGCTTGCCTATTTGTTTGCTTTACAAAGTTTACAGTATCTTAAGGGGAGCGGATTTATCTTTTTTAGGTTCAGTATTTGCCTTGTCCTGTTTAGGACATCTTTTTTTTTTTTTTTACCCCAGAGTCATGAAGATACTATCTTATCTTTTAGGACCTTTATGGTTGTAAGTTTTACACTAACATCCTTGAACCATTAATTAATTCTTAAAATGAATTGTTTATGGTGTGAGGTGTAGAAGTCAGTCTCTGGTATGTTTCCTGTGTAGAAATCCAGTTACTCTGTCTCCACTTGTTGAAATAGGCTTCCTTTCTCTACTGAATGCTTTTAACTTTAATTATTGTACAATTGGAGTATGGGGCTCCCATTTTAGTGCTATTTTCTTTTTTTCTTTTTTAATTTTTGAGACAGGGACTCACACTGTTGCCCAAGCTAGAGTACAATGGCACAATCAAGGCTCACTGCAGCCTTGAACCCTTGGGCTCAAGCAGTCCCCTAGCCTCAGCCTCACAAGTAGCTGGACTACTCCAGCATACCCAGCTGTTTTATTTTTTTGTATTGACAGGATCTCACTATATTGCCCAGGCTGGTCTCAAACTGCTGGCCTCAAGCTTTCATCCCATCTCGGCCTCCTAAAGTGCTGGGATTACAAGTGTGAGCCACCATGCCTGACTTCTTAGTGCTATTTTCTATTTATCTCCTCTGTTCTTTGCTCTCTTTAAACGTTTGAGGAAGAAATAGTACCCATCTTACACAAACTCTTCAGAAAATAGAGGAACAGACTGGGCGCAGTGACTCATACCTATAATCCCAGCACTTTGGTACGCCGAGACAGGAATCACTTGAGGTCGGGAGTTCAAGACCAGCCTGGCCAACATGTCGAAACCCCATCTCTACTAAAAATACAAAACTTAGGCCGGGCGCGGTGGCTCAAGCCTGTAATCCCAGCACTTTGGGAGGCTGAGACGGGCGGATCACGAGGTCGGGAGATCGAGACCATCCTGGCTAACACGATGAAACCCTGTCTCTACTAAAAAAATACAAAAAACTAGCCGGGCAAGGTGGCGGGCACCTGTAGTCCCAGCTACTCGGGAGGCTGAGGCAGGAGAATGGCGTAAACCTGGGAGGCGGAGCTTGCAGTGAGCTGAGATCCGGCCACTGCACTCCAGCCCGGGCGACAGAGCCAGACTCCGTCTCAAAAAAAAAAAAAAAATTAGCTAGGCGTGGTGGCACGTACCTGTAATCCCAGTTACTCAGGAGGCTGAGGCACAAGAATCACTTGAACCTGGGAAGCAGAGGTTGCAGTGAGGCGAGATTGTGCCACTGTACTCCAGCCTGGGCAACAGAGTGAGACCCTGTCTCAGAAAAAAAAGAAAAAGAAAATAGAGAAACATTTCCCAACTTGTTTTGAAGCCAACATAATCCTGGTACCAAAACCAAACGAGGACATTGCAAGAAAAGAAAATTTAGACCAATATTCCTGTTAGCATATACATGCAAAAGCTAACAAATTTTAGCAAACCAAACCTGGTAATATAGAAAAAAGGATAAATAGGCCGGGCGCGGTGACTCACGGCTGTAATCCCAGTACTTTGGGAGGCCGAGGCCGGCGGATCACTTGAAGTCAGGAGTTTGAGACCAGCCTGACCAACATGGTGAAACGCCGTTTTTAATAAAAATACAAAAATTAGGCTGGGCACGGTGGCTCACGCCTGTAATCCCAGCACTTTGGGAGGCTGAGGTGGGCAGATCACGAGGTCAGGAGTTTGAGACAAGCCTGACAAACATGGTGAAACCCCGTGTCTACTAAAAACACAAAAATTAGCCAGTGTGGTGGCACCTGCCTGTAATCCCAGCTACTCAGGAGGCTGAGGCAGAATTGCTTGAACCCGGGAGGCGGAGGTTGCAGTGAGCCAAGTTTGTGCCACTGCACTCCAGCCTGGGTGACAGAGCAGGACTTTGTCTCAAAAAAAAAAAAAAAAAAAAAATTAGCTGGGCATGGTAGTGGGCACCTGTAATCCCAGCTGCTTGGGAATCTGAGGCAGGAGAATCACTTGAACCCAGGAGGCGGAGGTTGCAGTCAGCTGGGATCACACCATTGCACTCCAGCCTGGGCAACAAAGTGAGACTCCATCTCAAAAAAAGAAAAAGTAAAAGCATAAATACATTCTAACCAAACAAGGTTTATCTCAGGATTGTAGTTGATTTAACTTTCAAAAATCGTCCTGGTGCAGTAGCTCAGGCCTATAATCCCAGCACTTTGGGAGGCTGAGGCAGGAAGGTCTCTTGAGCCCAGGATTTCAAGACCAGCCTGAGCAACATAGCCAGGCTGGTCTTTACTGGGGGGAAAAAATCAGTCTGTGTAATTCACCACATTAGCAAATTGAAACATAACCCTATGATCATTTCAACAGATGCAACAAAAGCAGTTAAGGATATTCAACACATATACATAATTACAAACCAACCAACCTCCTAGCAAACTAGGGAAAGGAAACTTACCTGGTTTGATAACAGGGCATCCACAATCAGAGTTCCACTAGCAGCATACATAATGGTAGAAAAGTCAATGCTGCCAGGCGCGGTGGCTCATGCCTGTAATCCCAACACTTTGGGAGGCCGAGGCGGGCGGATCACAAGGTCAGATCGAGACCATCCTGGCTAACATGCTGAAACCCCGTCTCTACTGAAAATACAAAAAAAATTAGCCGGGCGTGGTGGCGGGCGCCTGTAGTCCCAGCTACTTGGGAGGCTGAGGCAGGAGAATAACTTGAACCCAAGAGGCAGAGGTTGCAGTGAGCTGAGATCGTCCCATTGCACTCCAGCCTGGGCGACAAGAGCAAAACTCCATCTCAAAGAATAAAAAGGAAAGAAAAAAGAAATAACGATTAGAAAGGAAGAAATAAAACTTATATTCACAGCCAGTATGATTCTATATATACACATCCTAATGGGGCCGGGCGTGGTGGCTCATGCCTGTAATCCTAGCACTTTAGGAGGCTGAGGCAGGTGGCTCACCTGGACCAGCCTGGCCAACATGGTGAAACCCCATCTCTAATAAAAATACAAAACATTAGCCAGGCATGGTGACAGGCACCTCTAATCCCAGGTACTCGGAAGGCTGAGGCAGGAGAATTGCTTGAACCTGGGAAGTGGAGGTTGCAGTGAGCCGAGATCATGCCATTGCACTCCAGGCCAGGCAACAGAGTGAGACTCTGTCTCAAAAAAAAAAAAAAAAAAAAAAAAAAGAGTGAAATTCCATCTCAAAAGAAAAAGCCCTAATGGGAAATCCATAAAAAGCTACCAAAACTAATAAATATAGCAAGGTTGCAGGTTACAGGGCAATATAGTTATCCCTCTATCTGTAGGGGCTTGGTTCTGGGACGCCTCACACACCAAACCCACAGATGTCTAAGTCCCATATATAAGATGGTATAGTATTTGCATTTAACCTACACATATCCTCCCATATAGTTTGAACTATCTCTAGATTACTTACATTACCCCCATACAATGAAAATGCTAATGTACATACAAGTGTGTATGTAAGTACTTGTCGTACTATGTTGTTTAGGGAATCACCGGGCATATAGGCCTTCAGGGCTGATACCAGCAGCCACTGTTATGATTCTGGTCAGGCCTGCCCCTGTTTGGAGTCTCAGTTGAGCTCATTGCCTTCCCACCCAGCCAAGGGTACCTGCATTTCTTTTGGCTCCCTGGCCATTTGGAAGGCCTAGTTCAGCTTGGCACATTTGTATCCTGGCCCTCTCTGATACTGGGGTACCCCCGGAAAGGCCCTGCTCTGAAAAACACTGAGATTTTAGTTGCTACTGAAGACTTGAGAGGTGAAGACAGAGAGACCTCCTGTGTGTGGAAATGTGTCCCTCCAAGTGGGATTGAGACTTTGGGCCCCCCATTTCAGGACACCACCTCCTGACCTGTTGACTGAAGGAGGTGGACTTGCATTAATGGAGTGGGGGTGGGGGTAGTACCACAGATCCACACTAACAATCACACAGTTCTCTCTAGAATAATAATATAGAACAACTGCAGAAACAGCTAACCTTTATTGAGCTCTTACTGTGTGTCCAGCACTTTCCTCAGCTCTTTACATTTCCCATAATACACAGGGTACTAGGCCACGCTTGGTGGTTCATGCCTGTAATCTCAGCACTTTATGAGGCTAAGGCGGGCAGATCACCTGAGGTCGGGAGTTCAAGACCAGCCTGACCAACATGGTGAAACCCTGTCTCTACTAAAAATACAAAATTAGCCAGGTGTGGTGGCCTGTAATCCCAGCTACTCAGGAGAATCATTTGAATCCGGGAGGCAGAGGTTGCAGTGAGAAGAGATTGCGCCACTGCACTCTAGCCTGGGCAACAAGAGCTGAGACTCTGTCTCAAAAATAAAATAAAATAAAATAAAAAAAGAGCCTAGCATTAAAGGAGTTGTTTGGTAGGGGGATGTTTTGTCACTGCAAAAAACAGAAAAGTGGGCTGGGCACGGTGGCTCATGCCTATAATCCCAGCACTTTGGGAGGCCAAGGCGGGCAGATCACCTGAGGTCGGGAGTTCGAGACCAACCTGACCAATATGGAGAAACCCCGTCTTTACTAAAAACACAAAATTAGCTGGGCATGGTGGCACATGCCTGTAATCCCAGCTACTAGGGAGGCTGAGACAGGAGAATCACTTGAACCCGGGAGGCGGAGGTTGCAGTTAGCCGAGATCATGCCAGTGCACTCCAGCCTGGGCAACAAGAGCAAAACTCCATCTCAAAAAATAAATAAATAAATAAACAGAAAAGTGTAATGAACACTTTCAGTGGGCATGTTTCTTAGCAAATCTGATGACAAATTTGACATAAAGAGAGCATCCCTGAAAAAAAAAAAAAAGAGAGCATCCTGCCTGGGCAACATAGTGAAACCCTGCCTCTACAAAAAAACTCAAAAATTGGCCGGGCGCGGTGGCTCACGCCTGTAATCCCAGCACTTTGGGAGGCGGAGGTGGGAGGATCACCTGAGGTCAGGAGTTCGAAACCAGCCTGGCCAACATGGCAAAACCCCATCTCTGCTAAAAATACAAAAAATTAGTCGGGCGCAGTGGTGGGCGCCTGTAATCTCAGCTACTCAGGAAGCTGAGGCAAGAGGATCTCTTGAACCTGGGAGGTGGAGGTTGCAGTGAGTCGAGATCGCACTACTACACTCCAGCCTGGGCGACAGAGCGAGACTCCATCTCCAAAAAAGAAAAAGAAAAAAAACTAAAAAATTAGCCAGGCAGTCCTCTGTGGTCCCAGCTACTTGGGAGGCTGAGGCAGGAGAATCACTGAGCCCAGGAGTCTGAGGCTGTAGTAAGCCATGATTGCACTACTGCGTCGTAGCCTGGGCAACAAAGCAAGACCCTGCCTCAAAAAAAAAAAAGAAAGAAAGAAAGAACATGGCGGGCCGGGAGCGGTGGCTCACGCCTGTAATCCTAGCGCTTTGGGAGGCCGAGGCAGGTGGATCACAAGGTCAGGAGTTTGACACCAGCCGGGCCAACATGGTGAAACCCTATCTCTAATAAAAATACAAAAAATTTAGCCAGGCGTGGTGGCAGGCGCCTGTAATCCCAGCTTACTCGGTAGGCTGAGGCAGGAGAATCGCTTGAAACCAGAAGGCAGAGGTTTCAGTGAGCCTAGATTGCACCACTGCAGCCTGGGTGAAAAGAGCGAAACTCTCTCATTTAAAAAAAAAAAAGAGAGAGAGAGAAAGAACATGGCAAAGCCTTTGAAAGCTTGTCAGGGAGAAGGTGAGATGATAGTTGCATAACTTCGTGCAAGATGCTGGTTCACACAGGGGCTGCCCCTTGCTCCTTCTTGCTCCCTTGACCTCTCATATAACAGGCTCGTGTATTACTCACATTTATTGAGCCCAAGCAGGTGCAAGGCATTGTGATCTAATACGTTGGTCAGCAAGACAACGAGATAGATCACTGCCCTGCCCTTAGGAAGTGTATATGCTATTAGAGGAGACAGATGAAATAAATAAGGAAAAGTATTAGACAATGTAAGTGCTATGAGAATGCAGATAAGGTGATGTGAATTAAAGTAGGATGACTTGGAGTCTGCGTGGGAAGGAGCCTACCCCTGTGTTCCGGCTGGCCAGGACCACCAGTTGATTAGCAGAGAAGGGCAGCCGGTCTAGCTAGAGCTTTTGGGGAAGAGGGAGTGGTTGGTAAGAGATGAGATTAAAGAAGCCGAGAAGGGGCATTCGTGAGGGGTTTGTAAACGCAGGGCTGAGGAGTGTCGCAAGAGAATGGGAAGGTGAATGGTGAGACAGTTGTTCTTCCAGAAGCTTTGCAGTGAAAGGAATCAAAGAAGCGGAGCCAGGTATCAAGTGGGGAAGGGTGGGGGCCAAGGGGATCTTTTCCCACACAGAGATTGCAGGCTGAGAACGACTGCATCCTTGTTAACAGGAAGTGGGAGCAGGGCGCGGTAGCTCACGCCTGTAATCCTGGCACTTTAGGAGGCCGAGGCAGGCGGATCACCTGAGGTCAGGAGTTCGAGACCAGCCTGGCCAACATGGCGAAACCCTGTCTCTACTAAAAAATACAAAAGTTAGCTGGGTGTGGTGGCACTTGCCTGTAATCCCAGCTACTCGGGAGACTGAGGCAGGAGAATGACTTGAACCCGGAAGGTAGAGGTTGCAGGGAGCTGAGATCGCGCCATTGCACTCCAGCCTAGGTGACAGAGCGAGACTCCATCTCAAAAAAATAAATAAATAATAAATACAGGAAGGGAGTTGGGAATAGGGTGCACATTTAGGTAGTCTTGGGGATTTCGTGGTGGGAAGGTTGGAAGTCCCTCTCATGATTATCTTTTCCTCAAAGAAGTGCATGGCTGGTAGGGGTGGGGCAGGAGTGCTTAGGTTGTGGTGAAAGACTGGAAGAGAGGATGTGAAGCAGCCATTCTTTTCCTACTCCACGGGAAGCTATGCTGCCTCAGACCCTGACATGGTGTTGAGGGAAGGGATTCCTTCTCCGCAGGCCCAGGTGACCCAGGGTTGGAAGTGTCTCATGCTGAACCCCCACTTTTCCCCTTGCAGCAGCCAGACTGCCTTACGGGTCACTGCCATGGAGGAGCCGCAGTCAGATCCCAGCATCGAGCCCCCTCTGAGTCAGGAAACATTTTCAGACCTATGGAAACTGTGAGTAGACCCATGGGAGGGGCAGACCCACTGTCCCCACCCCAACCCCAGCCCCCTAGCAGAGGCCTGTGGGAAGCAAAAAAAATCCATGGGACTGACTTTTTGCTCTTGTCTTTCAGACTTCCTGAAAACAACGTTTTGGTAAGGACAAGGGTTGGGCTGGGGACCTGGCAGGCTGGGGGGGTGGGGACCTGGTCCTCTGACTACTCCTTTCACCCATCTACAGTCCCCCTTGCCATCCCAAGCGGTGGATGATTTGATGCTATCTCCGGATGATCTTGCACAATGGTTAACTGAAGACCCAGGTCCAGATGAAGCTCCCAGAATGTCAGAGGCTGCTCCCCCCATGGCCCCCACACCAGCAGCTCCTACACCGGCGGCCCCTGCACCAGCCCCCTCCTGGCCCTTGTCATCCTCTGTCCCTTCCCAGAAAACCTACCACGGCAGCTACGGTTTCCGTCTGGGCTTCCTGCATTCTGGAACAGCCAAGTCTGTGACTTGCACGGTCAGTGGCCCTGAGGGGCTGGCTTCCATGAGACTTCAATGCCTGGCCATATACCCCTGCATTTCTTCTGTTCGGAACTGGGATTCCTCTTCACCCTTTGGCTTCCTGTCAGTGTTTTTTATAGTTTACCCACTTAACCTGTGATCTCTGACCCCTGTCCCAAAGTTGAATATTCCCCCTTGAATTTGGGCTTTTATCCATCCCATCACACCCTCAGCATCTCTCCTGGGGATGCAGAACCTTTCTTTTTCTTCACCCACGCTTATTCCTTGGCTTTTGAAAATAACCTCCTGACCAGGCTTGGTGGCTCACGCCTGCAATCCCAGCACTCTCAAAGAGGCCAAGGCAGGCAGATCACCTGAGCCCAGGAGTTCAAGACCAGCCTGGGTAACATGGTGAAACCTCGTCTCTACAAAAAAAATACAAAAAATTAGCCAGGCATGGTGGTGCATACCTATAGTCCCAGCCACTCAGGAGGCTGAGGTGGGAAGATCACTTGAGCCTAGGAGATGGAGGCTGCAGTGAGCCATGATCACGCCACTGTGCTCCAGCCTGGGTGACAGAGCAAGATCCTATCTCAAAAAAAAAGAGAAAAGCTCCTGAGGTGTAACGCCAACTCTCTCTAGCTCCCTAGTGGGTTGCAGGAGGTGCTTATGCATATTTGTTTCTTTGCTGCCCTCTTCCGGTTGCTTTATTTGTTCACTTGTGCCCTGACTTTCAACTCTGTCTCCTTCTTCTTACAGTACTCCCCTGACCTCAACAAGATGTTTTGCCAGCTGGCCAAGACCTGCCCCGTGCAGCTGTGGGTTGATTCCACACCCCCGCCCGGCAGCCGCGTCCGCGCCATGGCCATCTACAAGCAGTCACAGCACATGACTGAGGTCGTGAGGCGCTGCCCCCACCATGAGCGCTGCTCAGACAGCGATGGTGAGCAGCTGGGGCCGGAGAGACGACAGGGCTGGTTGCCCAGGGTCTCCAGACCTCTGATTCCTCACTGATTTCTCTTAGGACTGGCCCCTCCTCAACATCTTATCCGAGTGGAAGGAAATTTGCGTGTGGAGTATTCGGATGACAGAAACACTTTTCGACATAGTGTGGTGGTGCCCTATGAGCCGCCTGAGGTCTGGTTTGCAACTGGGGTCTCCGGGAGGAGGGGGTAAGGGCGGTTGTCAGTGGCCCTCCGGGTAAGCAGTAGGGGGGCTTTCTCCTTCTGCTTATTTGACCTCCCTATAACCCCATGAGATGTGCAGAGTAAATGGGTTCACCCACTGCACAGTTGAAAAGACTGAAGCTTACAGAGGCTAAGGGCCTCCCCTGCTCAGCCGGGCGCGGTGGCTCGTGCCTGTAATCCCAGCACTCTGGGAGGCCGAGGCAGGCGGATCACGAGGTCAGGAGATCAAGACCATCCTGGCTAACACGGTGAAACCCCATCTCTACTAAAAAATACAAAAAAAAAAAAATTAGCCGGGCGTGGTGGCGGGCGCCTGTAGTCCCAGTTACTTGGGAGGCTGAGGCAGGAGAATGGCGTGAACCCGGGAGGCGGAGCTTGCAGTGAGCTGAGATCCGGCCACTGCACTCCAGCCTGGGTGACGCAGGGAGACTCTGTCTCAAAAAAAAAAAAAAGGCCTCCCCTGCTTGCCACAGGTCTCCCCAGGGCCCACTGGCCTCATCTTGGGCCTATGTTCTCTCCTAGGTTGGCTCTGACTGTACCACCATCCACTACAACTACATGTGTAACAGTTCCTGCATGGGCGGCATGAACCGGAGGCCCATCCTCACAATTATCACACTGGAAGACTCCAGGTCAGGAGCCACGTGCCGCCCTGCACACTGGCCTGCTGCACCCCAGCCTCTGCTTGCCTCTGACCCCTGGGCCCACCTCTTACTGATTTCTTCCATACTACTACCCATCCGCCTCTCATCACATCCCCTGTGCGGAATCTCCTTACTACTCCCACTCGGTTTTCTTTTCTCTGGCTTTGGGATCCGTTACCTGTGACTTCTCCTCCACCTACCTAGAGCTGGAGCTTAGGCTCCAGAAAGGACAAGGGTGGTTGGGAGTAGATGGAGCCTGTTTTTTTAAACGCGACAGGTAGGACGTGATTTCCTTACTGCCTCCTGCTTCTCTCTTCCTATCCTGAGTAGTGGTAATCTACTGGGACGGAACAGCTTTGAGGTGCGAGTTTGTGCCTGTCCTGGGAGAGACCGGCGCACGGAGGAAGAGAATTTCCGCAAGAAAGGGGAGCCTTGCCACGAGCTGCCCCCTGGGAGCACTAAGCGAGGTAAGCAAGCAGGACAAGAAGCGGTGGAGGAGACCAAGGGTGCAGTTATACCCCAGATTCACTGTTATCACCTTTCCTTGCCTCTTTCCTAGCACTGCCCAACAACACCAGCTCCTCTCCCCAGCCAAAGAAGAAACCACTGGATGGAGAATATTTCACCCTTCAGGTACTAAAGTCTTGGGACCTCTTATCAAGTGGGAAGTTTCTAGTCTAACACTCAAAATGCCATTTTCTTCTTGACTGCTTTACCTGCAATTGGGGCACTTGCCATCAGGGGGCAGTGATGCCTCAAAGACAATGGCTCTTGGTTGTACCTAACTTACTTCAGAACACCAACTTATACCATAATATATATTTTAAAGGACCAGACCACCTTTCAAAAAGAAAATTGTTAAAGAGAGCATGAAAATGGTTCTATGACTTTGCCTGATACAGATGCTACTTGACTTACGATGGTGTTACTTCCTGATAAACTCGTCGTAAGTTGAAAATATTGTAAGTTGAAAATGGATTTAATACACCTGATCTAAGGAACATCACAGCTTAGCCTAGCCTACATTTTTTTTTTTTTTTTTTTTTTTTTGAGACGAAGTCTCACTCTGTCGCCGGGGCTGGAGTGCAGTGGAGGGATCTCGGCTCACTGCAACCTCTGCCTCCCGGGTTCAAGTGATTCTCCTGCCTCAGCCTACTGAGTAGCTGGGATTACAGGCACCCGCCACCACGCCCAGCTGATTTTTGGGTTTTTTTTTTGTTTTTTGGGTTTTTTTTAGTAGAGGTGAGGTTTCACCATGTTGGCCAGGCTGGTCTCGAACTCTTGACCTTGTGATCCACCCGCCTCGGCCTCCCAAAGTGCTGGGATTACAGGCGTGAGCCACTGCACCCGGCCTGCTTTTTTTAGTCTACTTTTACTTTATTTTTAATGGAGACAGCATCTTGCTCTGTTGCCCAGGCTGGATTACAGTGATGTGATCATAGCTCATTATACCCTCGAACTCCTGGTCTCAAGCAATCCCGCCACCTCTGCCTCCCCAGTAGCTAGGACCACAGGTGTACACCACCACACCCAGCTAATTTTTTAAATTTTTTGTAGAGATAGGGTCTCACTATAGTGCCCAGGCTGGTCTCTAGCCTACTTTTTTGAGACAAGGTCTTGCTCTTGTCACCCAGACTGGATAGAGTGCAGTAGTGCAGTCACAGCTCACTGTAGCCTCCACCTCCCAGGCTCCATCCATCCTCCCAGCTCAGCCTCCCAAGTCGCTGGAACTACAGGCCCATACCACCATGCCTGCCTAATTTTTATTTTTATTTTATTTTATTTTATTTTATTTTTTGAGACGGAGTCTCGCTCTGTCACCCAGGCTAGAGTGCAGTGGCTCGATCTTGGCTCACTGCAACCTCTGCCTCCCGGGTTCAAGCAATTCTCGTGCCTCAGCCTACTGAGTAGCTGGGACTACAAGCGCCTGCCACCACACCCGGCTAATTTTTGTATTTTTAGTAGAGATGGGGTTTCACCATGTTGGCCAGGCTGGTCTCAAACTCCTGACCATGTGATCCGCCCGCCTTGGCCTCCCAAAGTGCTGGGATTATAGGTGTGAGCCACCATACCCAGCTAATTTTTATTATTTATTTATTTATTTATTTATTTATTTATTTATTTATTTTAAGAGAGAGTCTGTCTCTCTCACTCAGGCTAGAGTGCAGTGGCACGATCTCAGCTCACTGCAGCCTTGATGTCCCCGGGCTCCGGTGATTTCAGCCCCCCAAGTAGCTAGGACTACAGGCACATGCCACGACACCCAGCTAATTTTTTATTTTCTGTGAAGTCAAGGTCTTGTTGTGTTGCCCATGCTAGTATCAAACCCCTGGGCTCAATCAATCCTTCCACCTCAGCCTCCCCAAGTACTGAGATTACAGGCACGAGCTACCACACTCAGCCCTAGCTTAGTTGAAACGTGTTCAGAACATTTAAGTTACCCTACGGTTGGGCAAAGTCATCTAACACAAAGCCTATTTTATAGTAGTGTTGTATATCTCATGTGATTTATTGAATATTGTTACTGAAAGTGGGAAACAGCATGGTTGCATAAAAGGAGGCACAGTCGGGCCGGGCACAGCCTGGGCGCAGAGCGAGACTCAGAAAAGGCCAGGCACGGTGGCTCACACCTGTAATCCTAGCACTTTGGGAGGCCGAGGCGGGTGGATCACGAGGTCAGGAGATCGAGACCAGTCTGGCCAACATGGTGAAACCCCATCTCTACTAAAATACAAAAATTAACCAGGCATGATGGCGGGTGCCTGTAATCTCAGCTACTTGAGAGGCTGAGGTAGGAGAATCGCTTGAACCAGGAGGTGGAGTAGCAGTGAGCTGAGATGGCTCCACTGCACTCCAGCCTAGGCAATAGAGTGAGACTCCATCTCAAAAAAAAAAAGAAAAGAAACGAGGCACAGTTGCTTGCACCTCTAGTCCCAGTTACTTGAGAGGCTAAGGCAGGAGGATCACTTGAGCCCAAGAGTTTGAGTCCAGCCTGAACAACATAGCAAGACATCATCTCTAAAATCTAAAAAAGGGCCGGGCACGGTGGCTCCCATCTGTAATCCCACCACTCTGGGAGGCGGAGGTGGGTGGATCACCTGACATCAGGAGTTGGAAACCAGCCTGGCTAACATGGTGAAGCCCCGTCTACTAAAAACACAAAAATTAGCCGGGTGTGGTGGCACACACCTGTAGTCCCAGCTACTCGGGAGGCTGAGGTACAAGAATCACTTGAACCCAGGAGGTAGAGATTGCAATGAGCTGAGATTGCGTCATTGCACTCCAGCCTGGGCGGCAGAGCAAGACTCCATCTCAAAAATAAATAAATAAATAAATAAATAAAGTTTTTAAAAGTCAGCTGTATAGATACTTGAAGTACAGTTTCTACTAAATGCATGTTGCTTTTGTACCATCATAAAGTCAAACAATTGTAGGTTGAACCATCTTTTAGCTCAGGTACTGTGTGTATATTTATTTCTCCCCCTCCTCTCTGGCTGCAGATCCGCGGGCGTGAGCGCTTCGAGATGTTCCGAGAGCTGAATGAGGCCTTGGAACTCAAGGATGCCCAGGCTGGGAAAGAGCCAGCGGGGAGCAGGGCTCACTCCAGGTGAGTGACCTCAGCCCCTTCCTGGCCCTACTCCCCTGCCTTCCTATGTTGGAAAGCCATAGGATTCCATTCTCATCCTGCCTTCATGGTCAAAGGCAGCTGACCCCATCTCACTGGGTCCCAGCCCTGCACAGTTTTTTAGTCTTCCTCCAGTTGAATCCTATAACCACATTCTTGCTTCAGTGTATCCACAGAACCTCCAAACCCAGGGACAAGTGTGGATGTGTGGATAGTTCTTTGCCATTCTCAGCATCTCCGAGACCAGAGCTGGAGGGTCTCAAGGAGGGGCCTCATAATTGTGTAATATTGAGTAGAGCCAGAGTTTCAGGTCATATACTCAGCCCTGCCATGCACCGGCAGGTCCTAGGTGACCCCCGTCAGACTCAGTTTCCTTATATATAAAATGGGGTAAAGGGGCCAGGCGCAGTGACTCACGCCTGTAATCCCAGCTCTCTGGGAGGCTGAGGCGGGTGGATCACCTGAGGTCTGGAGTTTGAACCCAGCCTGACCAACATGGAGAAACCCCGTCTCTACTAAAAATACAAAATTAGTCGAGCGTGGTGGCACATGCTTGTAATCCCAGCTACTCAGGAGGCTGAGGCAGGAGAATCACTTGAACCCGGGAGGTGGAGGTTGCGGTGAGCCGAGACCCCGCCATTGCACTCCAGCCTGGGCAACAAGAGTGAAACTCCGTCTCAAAAAAACTAAAAAAATAAAATAAAATGGGGTAAGGGAAGATGATGAGTCTAATACACGCCAATACTCTGAGGTACTCAGTAAACATTTGCCTGGGGTGTGGCCATCATCTTGATTTGAATTCCCCTTGTCCCAGCCTTAGGCCCTTCAACGCATTGGTCAGGGAAAAGGGGCACAGACCCTCTCACTCATGTGATGTCGTCTCTCCTCCCTGCTTCTGTCTCCTACAGCCACCTGAAGTCCAAGAAGGGGCAATCTACCTCCCGCCATAAAAAATTCATGTTCAAGACAGAGGGGCCTGACTCAGACTGACATTCTCAGCTTCTTGTTCCCCCACTGAGCCTCCCACCCCCATCTCTCCCTCCCCTGCCATTTTGAGTTCTGGGTCTTTAAACCCTTGCTTGCAATAGGTGTGTGTCAGAAGCACCCAGGAGTTCCGTTTGCTTTGTCCCGGGGCTCGACTGAACAAGTTGGCCTGCACTGGTGTTTTGTTGTGGGGAGGAGGATGGGGGGTAGGACATAACCAGCTTAGATTTTAAGGTTTTTACTGTGAGGGATGTTTGGGAGATGTAAGAAATGTTCTTGCAGGTAAGGGTTAGTTTACAATCAGCCACATTCTAGGTGACACCCCACTTCACCGTACTAACCAGGGAAGCTGTCCCTCACTGTTCAATTTCCTCTAACTTCAAGGCCCATATCTATGAAATGCTGGCATTTGCACCTACCTCACAGAGTGTGTTGTGAGGGTTAATGAAATAATGTATGTCTGGCCTTGAAACCACCTTTTATTACATGGGGTCTAGAACTTGACCCCCTTGAGGGTGCTCGTTCCCTCTCCCTGTTGGTCGGTGGGTTGGTAGTTTCTACAGCTGGGCAGCTGTTAAGTAGAGGGAGTTGCCAAGTCCCTGCTGGCCCGGCCAAACCCTTGTCTGAGAACCTGTTGGTGAACCTTAGCACCTAAAAGGAAATCTCATCCCATCCCACACCCTGGAGGATTTCATCTCTTGTCTATGATGATCTGGATCCACCAAGACTTGTTTTATGCTCAGGGTCAATTTCTTTTCTTTTTTTTTTTTTTTTTTTCTTTGAGACTGGGTCTCACTCTGTTGCCCAGGCTGGAGTGGAGTGGCGTGATCTTGGCTCACTGCAGCCTTTGCCTCCCCGGCTCAAGCAGTCCTGCCTCAGCCTCCGGAGTAGCTGGGACCACAGGTTCATGCCACCACGGCCAGCCAATTTTTGCATGTTTGGTAGAGATGGGGTCTCACAATGTTGCCCAGGCTGGTCTCAAACTCCTGGGCTCAGGTGATCCGCCTGCCTCAGCCTCCCAGAGTTCTGGGATTACAAGTGTGAGCCACCACATCCAGCCAGAAGGGTCAATCTCTTTTACATTCTGCAAGCACGTCTGCATTTTCACCCCACCCTTCCCCTCCTCCCTTTTTATATCCCATTTTTATACCGATCTCTTATTTTACAATAAAACTTTGCTGCCACCTGTGTGTCTGAGGGGTGAATACCAGTGCAGGCTACCAGGGTCAGCAGGTGCAGGGGTGAGTGACGAGGTGCTGGGAAGCAGCAACCTGAGTCTGCAAGGAGTGTGGGCTGGGGGGCCCAGGTCCCGGGTTCCGGGAGGGGAACAAAGGCTGGAGACTGGGTCAGTCTGCGGGCTGCATGACAACAAGGGAGGGGGGTGGCTCCATTCATAACTCAGGAACCAACTGTCCCTCCTCCCCTCCGGCCACGGCTGGCACAAGGTTCTCTCCCTCCCCTGCTTCTAGGATTGGACTACCTCCCCCCTCGGCAGCCTCTCACCAAGGATTACGGGATTTAAATGTCTGATTTAGCAAGCCTGAGCCTCCAGGGTGGCCATCTGCTCCACTAGAAAGTGGCAGGATACCTGGGTTCCCAAGGGGAACGGGGGTGGGTGCTACTGGATAGAGAGAGGCCAGTAGGAGGCCTGCTAGCCAGGGTCCCAGGAAAGTGGGGGCAGCTAAGGTAAGAGTAGGGGTGTGGGGCTAGGGCCTTCCCAGCATCCCCTCATCCTGGGCCTCATGCCAGGTGGTTGAATGAATTGAAGCTTTAAACTCTGCCAGGAAAACCTTTCAAAGGGCTTCTTGGGATAGGGAGGAGAGTCCGGTTGAGGAGCTCAGTACCGCCTGCCCATGCTCCTCAGGGCTGCTGGCTCCCAGGGAGGGGGGCTGGAGGCAGGCAGGCTCTTCCCCATCACCCACTGCTGTCTGAGCCAGTGCTTGGAGGGGCAGTCAGACGTGGCTTGTCCTTCCTCCTCCCTGGTGGTGGAGACGGGTGCTAGGGTCCAGAGGGTGCTACTGTCCAGGGGTGCTTCTGGGGCCACTAGCCTCTCAGCTCATCAACCAGCTGAAGGTGCCAGCCCCTTGCCTTGCCCCAAGGATCCCAGACAGCTATGAAGTGACCAGCCTTCCTGACCTCAAGACCACCTTTTTTTTTCTCTTTCTTAGCAGGGAATGTCAAACACTCTCCCCAGGAGATCCACATCTGCCTCTTTCAGAGACTTTTAACTTAAACATCTGTCCCTACCCAGCAGGCAAAAAGCTCAGTCCCTCCACTTGCCTCTGTAGACAGGTCACCTTGATGAGCTTCCTTTTCCTTTTTTTTTTTTTTTAGGCTTTATTGGGGCATAATTGACCCCCCAAAATTGCATACATTCAAGGTATGTAGTGTGATGATTTGATATCGGGGTATATTGTGAAATCATTACCACAATCAAATTAATTAGCATGTCCATCATCACACATAGTTACCATTTGTGTGTATGCACATGTGTTCACCTATGACTACACTTGGATCTACTCTGCAGATTTCTTTTTTTTTTTTTTTTTTGAGACGGAGTCTCGCTCTGTTGCCCAGGCTGGAGTGCAGTGGCCGGATCTCAGCTCACTGCAAGCTCTGACTCCCGGGTTTACGCCATTCTCCTGCCTCAGCCTCCGGAGTAGCTGGGACTACAGGCGCCCGCCACCTCACCCGGCTAGTTTTTTGTATTTTTAGTAGAGATGGGGTTTCACCATATTAGCCAGGATGGTCTCGATCTCCTGACCTCGTGATCCACCCGTCTCGGCCTCCCAAAGTGCTGGGATTACAGGCTTGAGCCACCGCGCCCGGCCTAGATTTCAAGTAAACAGAAAATCTCCGTTTTTGACAACCGTCCTCCACCCTTTCAGTCCCAGCCTTTTCCTAGATTATGTCCCTAGCTCTGTTTTCATTTCTGCTGTGCTGCTTCAGATCCATTCTGACTCTGCCAAACTCTTCGTGAGCTGATAGATTGCCGGATTGAGAATTACGGCCGGGCGTGGTGGCTCACGCCTGTAATCCCAACACTGTGGGAGGCCAAGGCAGGCCTCAGGATCACCTGAGGTCAGGAGCTGGGAGACCAGCCTGACCAACATGATGAAACCCCGTCTCTACTAAAAGTACAAAATTAAATGGGCATGGTGGTGCACGCCTGTCATCTCATCTACTCGGGAGGCTGAAGCAGGAGAATTGCTTGAACTCGGAGGTGAAGGTTGCAGTGAGCCGAGATCCTGCCATTGCCTCCAGCCTGGGCAACAAGAGTGGTGGAGGTTGCAGTGAGCCGAGATCCTGCCATTGCACTCCAGCCTGGGCAACAAGAGTGAAACTCCATCTCAAAACACACAAAAAAAGAAGTACAAAGTCTGAGACTTCAGGCCAGCTCTGCTACACTATATATATACTCTACCCTATCTGGTCCTACTTGCTGACTTCTTTCCCTCTGGTCATGTTCAAGTTCCTGTCCCATCCAGTCAAGCAGGTACTCATTGGTACCTTACCCTGTGCCAGGAGCTGTTTTAGGCCCTGAAACCTATGGCAGACGTGGTCCCTACCCTCCCACTCAGAGAGCCCAGGCCTTATCCTAATGAGGTCTAAAATCAAATCTCCCAATTTCCTCATGGCTCCGATCTAAACTTGTAATTCACAACCTTAAATCAGTATGTTCTGTTTTTTTATTTAGAAAATATTTCCTGCTGGGCACAGTGGATCACGCCTGTAATCTCAGCTACTCAGGAGGCTGAGGCAGGAGAATCACTTGAACCCAGAAGGCAGAGGGTTGCAGTGAGCCGAGATTATGCCATTGCACTCTAGCCTGGGCAACAGAGCAAGACTCCATCTCAAAAAGAAAAAAAAAAAGAAAGAAAAAAAAACATTTCCCCCTCATTTTAGGAACATGAGTTCTCCAAATCTAAAATTCATACTCTAAGGAGATTGAATAGCCTTAAATGCTTTCATCGTTAAAAAGAAAAGAAAGGGACCTGGTATGCATCCTAAAAATTAAAAATATACCTGTAATCCCAGCACACTGGGAGGCTAAAGCAGGAGGATAGCTTGAGGCCAAGAGTTTCAGATCAGCCTAGGCAACATAGCAACACCCCACTTCTATTTTAATAAAATAAAATATTGTGAAACACATTTACAATTTTTAAATTTTAATTTTAAAATTAAATTTATTCATTTGTGTGTGTGGGTTTTTTTTTCTTTTTTTCTTTTTTTTTTTTTTTTTTGAGATGGAGTGTCGCTCTGTCGCCCAGGATGGAGTGCAGTGGCGTGATCTCTGCCTCCCGGTTCAAGCGATTCTCCTGCCTCAGCCTCCCAGGTAGCTGGGACTACAGGTGCACGCTACCATGCCCGGTTTTTAGTAGAGATAGGATTTCACTATGTCACCAGCTAACCTGGAACTCCTGACCTGAGGTGATTCGCACACCTCAGCCTCCCAAAGTGCTGGGATTACAAGCGTGAGCCACCACGCCCAGCCCAAAGTTGGTCTTAATAGCAGACAATCTATCAACCTAATTCAATACATTAAGTTTAGAAAAATTATGTATCATATCAACAGATGCTGAAAGGAATTTGATTAAATTTTAGTAGCCATTTCCTTAAAAAACACACACACACACTTTAATTAAAACAGTAATAGACTGATGATGAAATACCAATTTTCCTAAACAGTTAAACACTAAGATAATTTCAATTAAGATCAAGAGCTGGGCTGGGCGCAGTGGCTTACACCTGTAATCCCAACACTTTGGGAGGCCAAGGTGGGTAGATCACTTGATGTCAGGAGTTCGAGACCAGCCTGGCTAACATAGTGAAATCCCACCTCTACTACAAATACAAAAAAATTAGCTAGGTGTGGTGGCGGGCACCTATAATCCCAGCTACTGGAGAGGCTGAGACAGGAGAATTGCTTGAACCCGGGAGGCGGGGGTTGCAGTGAGCCAAGATCACACCATTGCACTCCAGCCTGGGTGACAGAGCCAGACTCAGTCTCAAAAAACAAAAGAGCTGGCCACACCTATAATCCAAACATTTTGTGAGGCCGAGGTGGGAGAATTGCTTCAGGCCAAGAGTTGAACACCTAGTCAAAATAGCCAGACCTCTCTCTAGATAAATAAATAAACAAACAAATAAATAATCAAGAACTGTATAGGGGCTGTATGGTGGCTCATGCCTGTGATCCCAGCACTTTGGGAGGCCAAAGTAGGAGGATCCCTTGACACCAGCCTAGGCAACAGAGCAAGACCATGTCTCTATTTTTAAAAAAACTGGCCGGGCGCGGTGGCTCACGCCTATTATCCCAGCACTTTGGGTGGCTGAGGTGGGTGAATCAGGAGGTCAGGAGTTTGAGACCAGCCTGGCCAACATGGTGAAACCCCGTCTCTACTAAAAATACAAACATTAGCTGGGCGTGGTGGCAGGTGCCTGTAATCCGCCTGTAATCCCAGCGAGTTGGGATACTGAGGCAGGAGAACCGCTTGAACCCAGGAGGCAGAGGTTGCAGTGAGCAAAGATCGCACGATTGCACTCAGCCTGAGCGACAGGGCGAGACTCCATCTCAAAATAAATAAAATAAAATAAATGTATGGGGATATAGACTTACTCTGGTTTTATTTTATTTTTTATTTTATTTTTTTTTTGAGACGGAGTCTTGCTCTGTTGCCCAGGTTGGAGTACAGTGGCGTGGTCTCTGTTCACTGCAACCTCCCCACCTCTCGGGTTCAAGTGATTCTCCTGCCTCAGCCTCTCGAATACCTGGAATTACAGGTGCCTGACACCACCCCTGGCTAATTTTTTGTATTTTTAATAGAGACGGGGTTTCATCATGTTGGCCAGGCTGGTCTCGAACTCCTGACCTTGTGATCCGTCCGCCTCTGCCTCCCAAAGCACTGAGACTACAGGAGTGAGCCAATGCGCCCAGCTTACTCTGGTTTTAGTGCATTCAAAAGGAACAAAAAAGGAAGAAAATCACTGGTAAAAAAAATTTCTTTCTGGTTAGAGTGGGTGTTTGGAAATTATATATATATTATATATTATATCTATACACACACACACATACATACACATGTATGCCTTTTTGATTATAGGATAGTATACCAAAACTCAGAAATATTATGGAATTAACAGAATTTAGTAAGGTAGATAAGTAGTAGGGAGAAAAATATTA